CAGTGGCTTTTAAACCCCAAAATACATTAAAGACTGGTTCATCCCAAAGATCCAGTCCCCCGGCACAAACAGAGTAATGTTGTGTATGTTGTTCAGTGTCAGGAGGGTGATCAGTCTTACATCGGGGAAACTAAACAGCCACTGGCCAAAAGGATGGACCAGCACAGAAGATCAACATCATCAGGCCAGGACTCTGCGGTCTACACTCATCTCCAGGCCAGTGGTCACTCTTTCAGGGATGAAGATGTTCACATCCTGGACAGAGAGGAACGATGGTTTGAGAGAGGAGTAAAGGAGGCCATCTTTGTGAAAAGAAACCGTCCATCATTAAACAGGGGTGGAGCCTCCGGGTTCAACTGTCCCCCTCTTACAATGCTGTGATTGCTAGTATCACTCAGCCCTCTGTGAACAGTAAACAGCCATCAGGTGCTAATGATCCATTGTTAGGCTGATGGTCCTTCTTGAGCATGTGATCAGCTGGTTTTGGTTGTCAGCAGCAAAACTGGTTGATCCACTCTGAGAAGGTGCTATTTAAGAGACTGAGCTGAATACAGCACCTCAGACTGAGGAAGTCCTCAGGATGAGAGACGAAACGTTTCTACATTTTTTTGTTGATTTGCTTTGTTTTGTTTTTTTGAATGTCCAGAAGACCAGATTTAACTTTTTTAGATTTTTCTACCTGGATTATTGAGCATGCATCAGGATATTCCACATCAATTTATTTGTGCCGTTAAGGACTTGATTTATTTTATTTTTAAAGTAAAAAAAAATTAAAATGTTGAATAAATACTGAATTGGGATGAAATTATGTACTTTGTACACAGGGTCCCAGTTACAGACAACAAAATGTAAAATAAAAACAGTAATAAGATCTAAGATATGAATTAAGAAAAATATCAACTAAAAAACATCTACTAATAAAACACTAAGCACTAACAGCAGTAAACAATCAAAACAATACGTCAAACAGCAACATGAACTAGAGTTTGTGCAGCCTTATGAAGATCTAACCAGGATAATCATGTTGCTGCTGATCAGTTTCATGCTGCTGCTGATCAGTTTCATGTTGCTGCTGATCAGTTTCATGTTGCTGCTGATCAGTTTCATGTTGCTGCTGATCAGTTTCATGTTGCTGCTGATCTGTTTCATGTTGCTGCTGATCAGTTTCATGTTGCTGTGTTCATGCATGCTCGTCTGTTCACACAGACTCATGTCCGTGCTGCTGTTCTGCGTATTGTGTTTAATGTTTTTATGCTATTAGTGCTTATCATATTTTTAGTTGATGTTTTTCTTAGTTCATATCTTAGATCTTATTACTGTTTTTATTTTATATTTTATTGTTGGATGTAACTGGGACCCTGTGTACATAATTTTGATCCACCACATGGACCACATGAGGTGCGAATGACAATAAAGAATATCTGTATCTGTATAAAACTTTCTGATTCATATATCCATTATTATCATTTTCATTATTTTTAAATCAATTTATTTTTCATTTTCTTATTTGATCAGTTTATTATTATTAATATCTATTATAGCTGTTAGCTGCACCTTTCTTTGTTTGATGCATTTATTCAAAAACAGTATGTAGCTTGAATTAACCACCTGTTTCTTCTTTCTAGTGAAGAGAAAGAGAAAAGAGTCCAGTAAAGAAAAGTCTTCTTTCATCACTGAATGAACATGAAGAACTGAAGCGGACACAGCAGGAACAACACTTGTGTCTTCTTCTGGATGAAGCCCGTGAGACGAGGGACACACAGATACACAATCATTAGTTGGACGCAGTAGTTTTTATTTTTCTACATTTTTCACTTCTTTTACTATTAAACAATTTTTTTCTTAAGTGGTGTCCTTGAACATTAAATTTACTAAACAAATTTTACAATGTTAAGTTCATATAGTGTTTGTTTAAATTCATACTGGAAGTTGAGAAGAATTTCCAGTTGCATTTGATCTTTAATGGATCCTAAGAAAAGATTACTAGAATCTGCTCAACTGTTATTATGTTATAAATGTTTTGTTCTAGGATGAAGTGAGACAAAAACAGTCAAAAATACAAAAAGGACAGTTATTAGTGATCATTTATCAATTATCAGTTATCATTTATCATTTATCAATTATCAGTTATCAGTTATCGGCTGTACAACTGTGGCCCGAGAGATTCAGCTGAAAGTCCTGGTGCACCTTTTATTTGAACCTGCAGAGATTTGAACAGCTGATCCGAAGCAAACAGGCAGGAGTTCACCTGAACTGACCACTCCTGCTGTGTTTGATGGTCTCCTCCTTCACCATCATCCATCCATCCATCTGTCCATCCATCCGTCCGTCCGTCCGTCCGTCCGTCCGTCCGTCCGTCCGTCCGTCCGTCCGTCCGTCCGTCCATCATCCATCCATCCATCCATCATCCATCCATTATCCATCCATACATCCATCCATCCATCCATCCATTCATCCATCCGTCCGTCCGTCCGTCCGTCCATCCATCCATCCATCCATCCATCCATCCATCCATCCATCCGTCCGTCCGTCCATCCATCCATCCATCCATCCATAATCCATCCATCCATCCATTATCCATCCATCCATCCATCCATCCATTATCCATCCATCCATCCATCCATCCATCCATCCATCCATCCGTCCGTCCATCCATCCATCCATCCATCCATCCATCCATCCATCCATCCATCATGCTTCAGGGTTGTGGGAGCAGCATCTTCACCAGGGAGGCACAGACATCAACAGCCTCCTCTTCAACTCTTCTAGGACCCCATGGTGTTCACAGACCAACTGACTATTTATTAATTAATATCCTGATGCTGCTCAATAATCCAGGTAGAAAAATCTAAAAAGTTAAGTCTGGTCCTCTGGACATTCACAAAACAAACAATACAGTTTATAATAAATAAACAATAAATGTTTTTTGTTTGTTTGTTTTTTGAATGTCCAGAGGACCAGACTTAACTTTTTTAGATTAATAAGTAATACATTTATGTATTTAAATTTAATGAAAGACAAACATTTAAAATTTAAGGACAAAATTTAATCTAATTGTTTTCAAGTCTGTATCTTATTGTAAAAGCAGTTTCAAAGATTACAGCACAGTGTGATGTTTTGTAATTTAACATGAATCTTGTGCATATCTGTAAATAATAAAAGTGAAGATATTTTTAATACATCTTTATTGTAAAAATCTACTAAATTGTAAAACACATGGATTTAAAGCAGCAGGAAGGCAGTAAGGTAGGATTATGAATCAGGTTTAAAAGTTACAGCTCCATCAGAGCATGACATCTCTTCCACAACATCCTGTGACAAAACCTTCAGGGTGTTCTTCTTCTAATACGTTTAGTGGTGGCTAGTAAGTAGCTTAAGGGAGCACTATCGCCACCAGGTGGTAAGACGAGTTGGATTCTAGTCCCCGCCTACAGAGCCGGTCCAGAAGTGTAAATGGAAACACAACGAGACACGAGCCGATCTGAACCAACCCGAACTGACCTGATCCGCACTGTGACAGTGGAAAACGGGCAAGAGTGACCGGTGGGGTGGGAGCGGCCGGTCCTGGACCAAAAATATATTTTTGGACGGTCCCGTCCAGCTCTCTGAATCACTGAACACCGAATTCAGTTGGAAGGAGGACCAACTTTAGTCCGATTCGAAAAAAACGGGTCAGTTTGATGATAAAAGACTGCAGAGAAGCCGGAGGGAGCTGCCGTCCATCAGCTCGCCGGAAGTGAAGTCTAGTCGGTACCTCTCAACCTCACGCACAACAAGCTCATGCTCTTTCCCCACCAGAGAGGTCACATTCCATGTCCCATGAGCCAGCTTTGGTAAGCCAGGGTCAGAGCGCCAAGATCCCTGCCTTCGGCCACTGCCCATGGCATCACGCACCCGAATTTTATGGCCCTTCCTGCAGGTGGTGGGTACACAGGAAGGCAAACCCATGCTGCTCCTTCGGGCTGAGCCTGACCGGGCTCCATGGGTAGAGACACGGTCACCAGGCGCTTGCCAACAAGCCCCTCCCCCAGGCCTGGCTCCAGGGTGGGGCCCCGGTAACTCATGTCCAGTCAAGGGACACAGAGTTCTTTGCTGTATCATGTCCATAAAAATCTTCGGAATCGCTCTTTGTCTGGCCTGTCATCTAGGACCAATCTGCCTTGGGAGACCCTACCAAGGACAATTATAATTGCCCCTGACAGTATACCTCCTAGGATCATTCAGGTGCACAAACTCATCCACTATGATAAGGTGGCAATTCAAGGAGGAGACATGTTGAGGCACTTTATTAAAAAATAAAGCGCATGCTTAGAAAAAAATCACCATATAAGTGAGGTCCATTTACCATCCATTTAATCAGTCATGTTTCCTTTATTTTTGACACTTGTAGCACAACAGCGACCACGTGCCTGCAAGGTGCACAAACAGCTGAGGCCCATAAAATACATACCAATTGTCTAAGGGGCACATTCATTCTCACTGAGAGGAAAATGATGATGGATCAGCATATTAACTCGGATCAACCCACGTGTGATTCCTCAGGTTGACATGGTGCTGACAATGACATATGTCCATCAACAACTGCATAAAGTTGTGTGCAATTGTAGAACAAAGGTAGCTATGTTGCTGTTGGAGGTAATCACCAATAAAAAAATTGGGAGGCAGTGTGTTTTTGGGCATCACACTGACAAAACAGAGACTGGGTGTTTCACAGTTGTCCCTGACTCATGCCATACAAGCTGTAGGGAATTGGCTCCTTTATATGATGTGATATGTAAAAGGGGAGAGGTGATGATTCGGTTAGAGAAGGCAAACCTGTGATCGGAAGGTCGCCAGTTCCACTCCCCGGACAAACATCAAAAAGGTGAGAAAGAAAGGTGAAGCACCTAAACCTGCCTCTACCTTTATTCCCCCCCCAGCAAGGTCCTTAACTCCCACCATCTGCTCACTCGGATGTCCTAGGGGGCAGCTCTCTGCTCCACACAGAGGGCTGTGGTAGCTCAGTGGTCTGTAGTTAAGTCAGGTAAGGCATCTGCCGTAAAACAAAACAAATGAAAAAATAATTAGTTGTAAAACAACTATAATTAATTATAATTGTTTTACAATTATCTTTAATTATTTGCAAATAAATAATTGTAAGACAATTATTTTACAATTACAATTAATTATAACTGTAATTGTTTTACAATTATTTAATTAATTGTAAAACAATTGCCAGTCTTCGTGCAAGTTAACCCACTTCACAAATTGTCAAGTTGAAAGTACCGCTGTTGTGTCAAATGACAGGTTTGACTTTTGAATTGCACCTCATTTTAACACATTTTTTCATTCAAACTTTAGTTTCTGTTCGTTTACATAGTTCAGACAGAGGGGGAGCTCTAGCCTGAACTATGCTGTAGCTGCTGTGATCCTGATTAGTTTCTTAATGCAGGTGTTTGGTTCTTTGTGACAATCAGTGCATGAAGGGAAGTAGACACGCACCGGTGAGTAGCAGCCTCAATAAACTTATCAAACAGTTTTGAGTCTAGAAGTAGGACCATGACGGTGCCGACCATTGAGTGCCTGATTGATTGCACCTGAGAGTTGGCGGTCGGTGAGGGAGAGCTAACGTTGGCGGAGCTGCGTTTTTCAACAAACAAATCAGAAAACGTTACCAGAACATCCTTTGGAGGTTTGGCATAAACTGGTGTGTGAATGGATCGAAATGGCGCATCAGGTAGGAGATTCAGAGGATGACATGAATGCTGAGGAATGGACACCAGTCAGAGGTGGGAGAGGGAAAGGTAAGGAAGGTGACAGAGGCAAGATGGAGGGCAGGGCAGTGTCTGAAAGCCAAGGAAATAAAAGAGGATTCGAAGAGAATAGTTCAGATGAGGATAGAGTGACTCGTAGGAAAATGGTGAGGGAGGAAGTCAAGATAATATTAAGATTCAACAAAGAGGATGAACAGGGAAACATTAGCCCTATTTTTCTATCAAAAGAAATAAAAAAGAAAATTGGAGAGGTAGAAATGGCTAAAATACTGAGAGATGGAAACCTAATGATAATTTGTAAAACAGAGGAGCAAAAAAATAAAGCATTAAAAATTGAAAACATTTGCAAAAAGACAATAACAGAAAGAATGGTGGTAGGAGAGAACAAAACTTTTAAGGGAGTGATTACAGGTATACCAACTGATGAGGATTTGGAAAAAATAAAACGAAGCATTGCAGGAGCACAGGTTACAAATATAAAAAGAATGTTAAAAACAGTCAATGGAGAAAGAGTGGCAAGCATGTCCGTCTTATTAGAGTTTGCAGATGATGTGTTACCGGAAAAAATCAAAATAGGATACATGAGCTTTCCAGTCAGGCCTTTTATTCCTCCTCCACTCCGCTGCTACAAGTGCCAGCGTTATGGACATGTGGCGGCGGTGTGTAGAGGGAAGCAGAGGTGTCCCAAGTGTGGAGAGGAACACAGATATGAAGAATGTAGGGAAGAAGCTCAAGAAAAGTGTTGCAACTGTGGGGGACAGCACAGAGTCAATTATGGAGGATGTGAGGTGAGGAAGAGGGCCGTACAAATCCAACAGATTAAGATAACCAAAAACATAAGCTATGCTGAAGCAGTCAAGAATGTGCAAGGACCAAAAACAAGAGAAACAGCTCAAATAAAGAATCAAACCCCACAACAAAATAATCAACCAGAAGAAAACATTTCAATGTCAACGGAGAAACTTATTCTATTTATGGCATACGTTATCAATTGTACTGATCAGGTTAAACACAAGACAGAGAAGATTAAAATAATTGTGAGAGGCGCTGAAAAATTCTTGGGATTTAAAGAGATGTCATGGGAAAATATAAATAAAAGACTGGAAACAGAAGGGAAGTCAGGAAACCTCAACGACAAAAACATATGATAATACTACAATGGAACGCACGAAGTTTATTAGCAAATGGGCAAGAATTTAAAGCATATATAGATGGATTTGATAATAAACCAGAAATCATATGCATACAAGAGACATGGTTAAAATCAAATTTGGAGTTCGTTATCAAAGGATATAATAGCATAAGAAGAGATAGACAGGAAGGAAATGGAGGAGGATGTGGAACATTCATAAAACAAGGAATTCAATATCAAATATTAAAAAAAGGAACAGAATTAGAATACATAATAGTGGAAATATGGGGAGATGAAGGAAAGTATAAGATCATAAATTTCTATAACCCATGCAAGGCACTGTCACTTGAAGTGATGGAGGAGGTATTAGAATATGTGGATGGGAAAGTGGTGTGGTGTGGGGACTTTAATGCACATAGTACTTTTTGGGGGAAAAGTAATGATAGAAATGGACAAATAATGGAAGAAGTAATAGAAAATAAAAACCTTGTATGTATTAATGATGGGAGGGGAACAAGAGTAAATGTTAGAACAGGAGCAGAATCAGCAATCGATCTTACATTTGTGTCAAATTCATTAGCTGGTGTTTGTATGTGGGATATTGATAAAAGCACAGTAATGGGTAGTGATCATTATCCTATCAAAATTTCAATAGGCATAAAACCAGAAAATAACAAAGTAGAAGGAAATAGAAAGTTACTATTTAATAAAGCAGACTGGAATAAATTCAAATATCTTACTGATAAAGAGCTACAATAGATCTTTCAATGGATAGTAATAGTATAAATGTTGGTATAAGCAAGGTTATACAGGAAGCTACAGAACATTCAATAAAAAAAGGTGGAAGAACGAGCGAAAAGAAAATAGTACCTTGGAGGACAATTGAATGTAACAAAGCCATAAAGACAAGAAATAAAGCATTTAAAACATTAAAAACAAATCATAATTATCAGAACTTCATTGAATATAAAAGAAAACAAGCAATGGTAAGAAAAATAGTAAAGAATGCAAAAAGGGAATATTGGAGAAACTTTTGTAATACTATAGGAAAAGAAACAAAAATTGAAAAAATCTGGAAAATGATCAAAAGAATGAATGGGATCAAAAAAGAATATGGATATCCAGTATTAAAAGTAGATGGCACAGAAATGGTAAATAATAAAGAAAAAGCTGAAATACTAGCAACAACATTCAGTAAAATTCATAGTTCCAATAATATTAGTAATGAAGGAATGAGAGGGAGGGAAACTACAAAGTTAAAATACAAAGATTTAATGGAAAATATGGAAGAAACTGATAATTTATTGAACGAACCCTTTCAAAAAGCAGAACTAAATCGAGTACTCAGGAAAACAAAACAAACAGCACCTGGAAAAGATCAGATATGGTACACCATGATAGACCACCTTAGTGGCAAATCCAAAGAAATAATTTTAGAACTATACAACAAAGTCTGGGAAGAGGGGGAACTACCACAAAGCTGGAAAGAAGCAGTCATCGTACCAATAGCAAAACCAGGAAAGGATCATACAAAGCCGGAAAATTACAGACCAATCGCACTAACATCAAATATATGTAAAATAATGGAAAAAATGATTAATGATAGACTAACGTATTATTTGAACAGTAAGGGATACATATCTAAACATCAAAGTGGTTTTAGAAAAGGGAGAAACACCAATGATGCAACATTACAGTTAGAGCACGAGATCAGGAGAGCACAGATAAATAAAGAAAGTGTGGTGGCCGTATTCTTCGACATAGAAAAGGCAGACGATATGTTATGGGCTGAAGGATTATTAATTAAAATGTACAAACTAGGAATTAACGGAAGAATGTTTAGATGGATACAAAACTTTTTAACAAAAAGATCAATACAAGTAAAAATACAACAAGAATATTCAAAGAAATATTTTGTGGAAAATGGAACACCGCAGGGGAGTATTATAAGTCCATTATTGTTTTCCATAATGATAAATGATGCGTTTTCAGTGATTGAGAAGGGGGTGGAATGTTCGTTATTTGCAGATGATGGAACCATTTGGAAAAGAGGGAAAAATATAAAGTTCACTGTGAAAAAAATACAAGATGCTATATTAAAAATTGAGAAATGGGCAAATGATTGGGGATTCAAATTCTCAGTGGACAAAACTAAAGTAATGGTATTTACACAGAAAAGAACAACAGAAGAGTTTAAATTGAAATTATATAATCAAGAACTAGAGCAAGTTAAATGCATAAAATATCTGGGTATATGGTTTGATGAGAAAATAATATGGAATGTACATATACAAAAGATTATTGATAAATGTAAAAAAGTCTTAAACATTATGAGATGCTTAGCTGGGAATGAATGGGGTGCAGATAGGACTGCATTAAAGCGAATATATACAGGACTTATCAGATCAAATATGGATTATGGTTGTGCAATTTATGGATCAGCAGCAAAAACACATTTGGAGAAACTGGACAAAATACAACACCAAGCATTAAGACTATGTACAGGAGCATTCAAAACCACCCCAGCAGCAGCACTTGGAGTAGAAATGGGAGAAATGCCGTTAGCAATGAGACGAGAACAACTAGCAATAAACTACTGGATCAATCTTAAAGGAAATAACCCGGAACACCAACATTAGATATTTTAAAACAAAGCTGGGAGACGGAGAAGAAGGAGACAAGAAGCTTTGGATGGATAATAGACCAGAAAACAAAAGAAATGCAAATACACAACTTAGACATCAGCCCAGTAGTACCATTACCAACAATACCACCCTGGATTCTCCCAAATGCAACAGTTGACTTGACACTCATGGACAAGAAAAAAGACAGAACATTTATTTTTAATTCATATACAGTACAGGACCATATCAATAACTACTATAACTATATACAGATTTATACAGATGCATCAAGAACATCAGAGAAAGTAGGAGTGTCATATTTAAAATACCAGAATTCAACATAGAAGTAAGGAAAAGAATCACAAATGAAGTATCCGTGAACACAGGGGAGATGTTGGCAGTACTGTTGGCAGTATTATTGGCAGTGCAGTGGGTGGAAGAAACAAGACCGTTAAAAACAATCATTTGTTCAGACTCAAGCTCAACACTCATCAGTTTACAAAATAGTCATTCAGATAGCCGA